CTTTCTGCCTCTACCTCCCAAGTGCTGAGACTACAGGCATGTGCCACAACCTTCCCCCCTCCCCCATTTTATGGAGTGTTGGGGGTGAACCCAGCATTGTATGTACATTAGACAAACATTCTGCCAACTGAACCACACCCCCAGATCTACAGCCTGACTTTCAAGGAGGGTGTATCCCCTGGCCCAGGACTCAGGAAAGGGAGCTGTCTGTCCCTGAGTGGGCTTCTCAGCAGCAAACGGCAACACAGGCTGACTCATAGCTACAATTTACAGACCAAGAATTAAGGCCTGGAACACTCAATGCCCTGCGGTCTCCCAGAGTGGGAGGGAGGCCCCTGCAGCCCTCGGAAGCCAGGCACACCGGCAGCAGCTACCCCAGGGTGAAGCGGCATTCTCCGGGTCACGCTAATCTGCTGTTTCCTCAGAGTGTCTGGCTGAGGGTAAATTGAATTATTTATCTAGTCCTGTGTGCCCGTGTCACTTCCCCAGACAACCAGGTTATTCATGACTCTACATTCTCCATTTCAACATGCAATTCGCAACAAAATTTGACGGGTTAGCAATACCGTCATTAGTTGCAAATGTCTGTGCTTGTATTTGTCTGGTCTAGGGGCTATTTCATTAATGTGACAGAGGCCAGTAGTCTTTGCCCTGGGACATGGGATGAGCAGCAGCTGTGTCATGGGGCAGGGTCCAGGCCCAGGCCCAGGCCCGGGCCAGGCTGTAAGAGATGAAAAGGACTCAGAGCTGTGGCACCAGAGACGTGGTTCTGCCTCCTTGGTTTCTCTCATTGGTTCTTTATCCCTCCGTATGGGTATTTGTTTAAGTCTTCTTATACTTATTTATTTATTACAAGTGTAGAGACCAGAGGACAACTTGAAGAAGTAGATCCTCTCCTCCCACCCCGTAAGTCCCGTGGATTAAACTCTGATTGTCATGCTTGACACTAGGCATTTTTCCCACTGAGCTATCTTGCTGGCCCTATTGATTCGCTTGCTGATACAAGGTTCCTGTAGTCCAGGCTAGCCTCAGGCTTATTATGTAGTGGAGGCTGATCCCCCCCCCAACGGCGGCCTCCCCAGTGCTGGGGATGGCAGGTGTGCATCGCCACACCCTGCTTTTGGTTTTCATCCGAAGCTGCTTATTGGGGTCTCCCAGGGTTGAGCAGATGCCACCAGCAGGAACGGGAGCCACCCCAAAAGCCTCTTCTGCCCCCCGGATCTGCTCACGTGCCTCCAGTGACAGACCTTCCAGCCTGAGGTAGCTCCGCTTGCGAGTACATTCTCCTTGCTGAGACTCCCAGGTTCCTCACTTTGCTCCTGTCTCGATTCAGAAAATAAATTGCATAGGCTCGGAGCTAGGCGCTAAGCCTGAGCTGAGAACAGAGGGTCTGCTCAGCCATCCTTCCTTGGGATTTTAACAGTCAGTGCTCCTAGCTTCATGTCACCCGACCCAGGGATTTGAGCGTGCGAGGGACGTGCTCTGCCACTGACCTACGCTCCGAGTCCTGAAAAATGCCTCTTAATTAAGTAGATTGACAGCAAGCATGAAAACAATAAGACAAGCAAGTAACTCAGAGAGTCTCTGGGCAGAGCTGACCATGGCCCCAGGTCGGATTGCAGATCAGGCTCTGTCAGGAACTTGATAGCGCCTTCCATGGAGGACTCTCTGCAGTCCTGGCTTTTGTGGCCTGCCAACTCATGTGCCAGCCCATGTGCCAGCCCTTGGGTCTGACTGGCAGAGCCTGTCCTGTGCCCTTCTCTGTGATAAGTGACAGGACACAGCACTTCTGGTCTCCCAGGAAGAAGGCTGTGATTCTGAGCGACCAAAAGGAAAACGAAGGAACAAACCAAACCTCAGTGCTGAGGTGGCCTGAAAGGTATAGTGCTGTACACGCCTGCAGACAACTCACTTCCTCGAAGCAAGTATTTCTGCAGTACCAGAGGGGCTGGAGCTGTGGTCCCTTGCCCTCGAGACACGGTGCACTCAGAGGCCAGGCAGTTGACTCTGAGGGAGTCTGGGAACCCAGATTACATGGTAATAACAGGATATTAGGTCCTAGAGGGGTGAGCCAAAGGCGGGGGCTGCTGAGGAAACGCCCCACTTCCTTGTTGTCCAGCAGCAGCACCTGGATGCCTTAACCCAGAGCCAGACCAGAGGACTCCGTTCCGTCCACCTGTCCCCTACTGATGGCGCAGTTTCCCTGCTCCGTCTCCAATCCCCCTTTTAAGAAAGATTCCTTTTCACTCCTTTTTAATTGTGTGTGTAGGTGTACGCATGACAGCAGGTACCCACGGAGGAGTTACGGGTGGTTGTGAGCTGCTGGGCCCTGAACTCGGGACCTCTGCCAGGGTTCACGCCCTCTCTAGTCAATCCCCAGCAGCCCGCTCTTTACCTGGGCAGCTATTACACCCCTGGCTTCCAGCTCCGGTGCCTCAGGTGGGGTTAACTCCCTGGCATGAGAGTCACACCTGAGCCATGGTTCGCCCGGCGGAGCTGGATCTCACCTACGGACAGAGCTATGGGGCATCTTACCGGTCTCGGCTCACCCTACCCCACAGGCAGAGCCGTGCAGCGCCTTCTTCAGAGTGCAAAACGGCCGAGCGCTTTGTGCTTGGCGCAGAGCTCCACAGTGTCTTCCGGATGGTGCAGGGTCTGTTACGGTCAATTCGGGGTTTCGGGACACCTTCTGAGCTGCGCAGAGCTGCACCGTGGCTGGTTTGAAGACGTCCGTGATCCCAGGCCAAACCGGTCAGTCCACACGGAGCCAATCGTGATGTTCTCCGCTCACCTGGGCACGTCGGCCAGCTGTGCTGCTGGCTACCACAGCGTCTAAGAGAGGAGAGACGGCTCAGCAGGTCACAGCACTAGCCACACCAGACCCGCCACACCAGACCGGCCACCAACCTGGAGCTCGGACCCAGAGGAGGTTAGCGCAAATGTGAGGCTGGCCTGGTCTAGCCAAACCCTGTCGAAAACAAACAAGAAGGACAGCCATCACCAAAAAATAAACCGTTTAGAGCTGGGGAGCTGGCTCAGTTGGTAAGGTGCTTGCCAGCTTGAGGCCCTGATCCCAGATCCCTAGCATCCACGGAAAAGCTGGGTGAGGTGGTACCCGTTTGTCCTCCAGCACTGAGATGGGAATAGGTGGGTCCTGGAGCTCAGGATAGGTGGGTCAGCCCAGCTGACCCAATGAGCCCCAGGTTCGACAAAAAGAAAAACACCGTCTCAAAAAGCGATCGAGGAGGGCAGAGAAACCTGCCACCAAGCCTGATGCTTGAGTTTGATTCCCAGTGAAGGTAAGGGAGAGAACCAACTCCCTCACCTGTCCCCTGACCCGATGCATGCCATTGCACAACCCTCCCCTCCCCCATAGTGTCACACACCTGTGATCCCAGCACCCAGGGAGGCAGAGGCAGGTGGATCTCTCTGAGTTCGAGACCAGCTTGGCCTACAAAAATGAGTCCAGGACAGTCAAGGCTACACAGAGAAACCCTGTCTTGAAAAACTAATAATAATAATAATAATAAAGAGGTGGAAAGTAATTGAGGAAGATAGTTGACATCAACCTGGTCTTCATGTGCACATAAACTCAAACATACCACACACAAAAAATAAGTTAATTAATAAAATTGATACCTATTTAGTAGTTATGGGTGTATGTATGTGCGTAAATGTGTATGCCCAGGTCAGAAGACAACAAGGGAAATCAGTTCTCTGCTTCCATCGTGTGGGTTCAGGGGAACAATTTCAGATTATCAGGTTTGTCAGCAAGGGCTTTTACATTGTGTGTGTGTGTGTGTGTGTTTAATAGGATGCTCAGCCAAGCTGCCTATATAGAGTTGAGAAAACTAACCTAGTTCTATTTTAACGTCTATTAGAAAACTCTTCCTGGTGCCTGGAATGGGCTCATGGCTCAACCCTGTAACCTCAGCACTAACGTGGCCGAGGCAGGATGACTTGAGGACAACCTAAGTTGCATAGCGAGAATCTCCCAAGATTCCGTCTGGGTGTGGAGAAGGAGAAGAAAAGAAGGAGAGGAAGAGGAGGAGGAAAGAAACGCCAAGGGCGGGGCTGCCAAGTCTCATGAGTCTGCTTAGTTCTGTCTCCAGGACCCACACTGAGGAGAGAGGGAACCCACCCCCACAAGTTGTCCTCAACCTCCAGACACAACAAGCGTGTACACACACCCATGCACACACGCACGCACACTCACTCACACACACACAATAAGAAACATAATAAATGAATTTTAAAGGAGGCGGGGCTGAGAGTGTAACTCAGTGTAGAGGGATTACCTAGCGTGTGCAAAGCCCTGGATTCAGTTTCCAGTATCAATTCCCCACACACAAAGACCATATACACACTCACACACACACACACACCGAACATATACATACAGAAACTCTCACACACACACACATACACAAACACATACACACCACACAAACATACACCACACAGACACACACCAGACACACACCACACAGACACACACCACACAAACACACACCAAACACATACACACCACACAGACACACACCACACAGACACACACCATACAAACACATACACATATACACACCACACACAGGCATGCACACACACTCACACACACATACACCACACTCCTAGAATCATGGTGCTACTTGGCCCAAGTCTCACTAAAGTCAGGCTGCGTGCAGGCAGCAGGCAGTAATAACCGAAGCTGCCCCACGGGCTAGGACAGAGGATCACTTGAGTCCAGGAGGTAGAAGCCAGAAGCTCGGCACAGCACATCTGCAAACAGACCAGCAAACAAAGGAAAAAGTAAAAAGACCCCATAGGGCTGGAGAGATGACTCACCGGGCGGGAGCACTGGCTGCTCTTCCAGAGGGCTGGGGTTCAATCCTAAGTGCTCACACGGCAGCTCACAAGTGTCTGTAACTGCAGTCCCAGGGGACCTGACATTCGCTTCTGGCCTCCACAGGTACCAAGCATGCACATGGCGCATTCACATACCCGCAGACAAAATACCCACGCACCTAAAATTAATAATTAACTAACTGAAAAGAAACTTGGGTAGTCTCCAGCGGGACCAGCCCCTCTCACCAATGGTCCAGAACCTAAAGAGATCAAGGCAGGCCGCTGACCTCTGTCACTGTCCCCAGAACAGTACCATGGTGCCAGCCTTCGAGCCCAGCCCCTCACCCTGAGAGATGACTCCACCTAAACCTTTAGAGAATCCTTTCTCGAGCAATATTCCCTAGCCCCTAGCCAGGAGCAGTGGCACACACCTTTAGTCCCAGCGCTCGGGAGGCAGAGGCAAGTGGATCTCTGTGAGTTCCAGGACAGCCAGAGCTACATAGTGAGGTCCTTGTCTTGAAAAAAATTAATAATAATAATAATAATAATAATAATAATAATAATAATTCCCTCAAAACAAATAAAGTGATTTGGGATAGGTAGGGAAGCCCCTTTTCTCCTGACAGCATTATGTGACAGCATTAAGGTGCCTGATCCTATATGTGCTCACCCACAGTCAAAAAACTACACTTCCAGGGAGAGCCTAGCCTAAATGTCCTGACTCCATCCATGTCCTGATCTCGGCCGGCCCTCCATGCCACCTGAGTGGGCTCAGTGGCCTCCCCTCCAGGACTAAGGTCTTCGAGATTATTTGCTTGAGGTTCCTGGCACCCAGTAGACCTGAGCTCTAGAGTTTATTTAGCTTAGGGTCAGCCCACTCCCATCTCATAGGGCATCATCTTGGAGCCCTGTTTGGGAGTTGGCATATACAGGTTTTTCCCTTAGGCAGGCCTGACTACCCCCTTACCATCACAGAGCAGATACCTTTGGCTCCATAGTCACGGCAACAGGAAAAAGGACAGGTGACTGCTGTTTCTGGACCCCAGAGGAGAGGGGGATTCCTCCCACCAATCTCTCTGCCTCTTAGCTGTGCTTGATCTTGGGGAGGTGCTAGAGTATATAGGAAGTACACAGGGTATATAGGAAGTATATAGGAAATAGAAAGTTACCTGAAGACAGATGCAGCTTTGTGAAGCCAGGATGGACTTTTCATGACTGTTTTTGAGTCGTCCAACCCCTCACCCAGGCACCTATACATAAGCGCAATAAACCCATTGATTCACTGATTCGGGCTCCAGTGAACCAGATTATTTGGTTTGTGGGTGGTGCCCTATCTAAGACTGCGGTTCACGTCTTCAGAGGAGAGAGAGGTCGCATGACGCTTTGGCAAGTGTTCGCCAAAAATAAAAAGCCGAAAAGGGTGGGACTGATCGTGGTGGCGAACACCTTTAATCCCAGCACTTGGGAGGCAGAGGCAGGCGGATCTCTGTGAGTTCGAGGCCAGCCTGGTCTACAGAGTGAGTCCCAGGAGAGCCAGAGCTACATAGTGAGACCCTGTTTCAATAAACAAACAAACAAACAAACAAATATGTGATTTGTGGCTGTAGTTGCCTAGCGTGCACACGGCTTTGGGTTAGATTCCCACCATTGAATAAACGGGGATGGTGGCCATAAAAAGCTAGGATGGGGAATTCAAGGTCATCTTCAGCTACATAGCAAATTCAGGATCAACAAACCTTGTCTTTAAAGGAGGGAGGAAAGAAGGAAGAAATAGGTTGAGAAGCTGCCTCTCTGCTAACACAAACCACTCTAATGACCTCACCTGAAGTTTCAGCCTATCATAAAAGCAATGAGCTGACCCCATCCCCACCCTGTGTAAAATGTTTAGCCGTCACCTCCAATGTTAAACGCAGGGAACCCCCTTTCCCCAACAGTTCATTCCTAACTATGTATGTCTGGCAGAGAGGCATACTGTCATACCCCCCCCCCCCAAACAAAACAAAACAAAACAAAACAAAACAAAACAAAACAAAACAAAACATGTACAATGTGTCACAGACTAAGCTGGCAGCAACCCAGGATCCCATCAGCCCTGAAATGAATAAATAGCGATATAGTCATAAAAACAGAATATAGCAGGAGGCTGGGCGAAACGTTTTATCCTCCACAACACGAGTGAAGAGAAGCCAGGCATAAAAATAGCCCGTACTATAAGGTTCCATTGACAAAGTTCAAAAATAGATGGAGCTTCTCTGTGGTGGCCGAGGCCAAAACAATGGCCGCCCTTGGGATGTGACTGGAAGAGAGCACGGGAGCCTTGGGCCGCAGGCATTGTTTCCGCTCCTACAGGAGAGGTGGCAGAATTGCAGCATTTTGCACGTTTTCTGTGTGTATTTATACTTCAATTAAAAAGTGCACTTAAGAGGCCTGGAGAGACGGCTCAGAGGGTAAGAGCACTTGTTCTGGCAGAGAACCTGGGTTCAATTCCCAGCACTGACATGGCAGCCCACAAGTGGAGGCTGTGCCAGTTCCAGGGGCTCCAACAACCTTTCCTGACCTCTCAGGGCACCAGGCACGCACACAGGGCACAGGAACAAAACATTCAGACACGGAAATAAATTTTGGTTTGGTTTGGTTTGGTTTATTTGTTTTTGCAAGATAGGGTTTCACTATGTATGTCTGACTGTCCTGGAACTAGGTAGACCAGGCTAGCCTCAAATTCACAAAGATCTGCCTGTCTCTGCCTCCCCAGTGCTGGGACTAAAGACGTGCCCTACTATGGCTGGCTCAAAAAATAATTTTTAAATTTCATCTAAGCTGGGTGTGCGAACATGAGATACTGTCTTCAAACACACACACACACACACACACACACACACACACACACATATCTATCTATCTATCTATCTATCTATCTATCTATCTATCTATCATCTATCTATCATCTATCTATCTATCTATCTATCTATCTATCTATCTATCTATCTATCTATCTATCTATCTATCTATCTATCTGTTAAGAGCACTGGTTGCTCTTCCAGATGACCTGGGTTCCATTTCCAGCACCTACATGGCAGCTCACAACCATCTTTGACTCCAGTCCCAAGGGACTCACTGTCGTCTTCTGACTTCCTCTGTCATGCAAGCATGCAGGTTGTTCGCAGAACACTCGTACACATAAAATAAGTAAATCTCTCTCTCTCTCTCTCTCTCTCTCTCTCTCAGAGCCCCTGTTGCCCAAGCCACTTCATGCAGGAATTCCAGGGACAACCCAGCATCAGGGCAGTGCAGCTCAACCTGTGTCAACCTCTGTGGGTCCTTGATTCTCTAAAGCACTCAAACCTGAGGTCAGCAAGCAGAGTTCTGGGACACAGGAAAAGAGAGAGGTGACCTAGGTCACAGCCCTAGGGGAATACAGAAGCATCTGAGGAGGGCTTGTCCTGGCACTGCGGAAGCTCAGCAGAGGTTGGCTCCCCACAGGCCTTTCAAGATAGACCCCTCCTTAACGCTCTGGAAAAGCATTTTGGAGGCCAAAGGAGCATATGTTCAGAGTTGTACCAGACAACTTGTTCTAGGATAGCTTGGACTACATAGTAAGACTATCTAAAGAAAGAAGGAGGAAGGGAGAGAGATTGAGAGATGGGGGTGGGGAGAGATAAAGAGAGAGTGCACCTATGGTAGAGTGAAGGCAGGATGGGTGGAGGGGTTGGCCTTGGCCTTGAGCCCAGTCTCTCTCTGCTGTTTGAACTCTCAAAGCTTGTCTACTTCCTGCTGGCTCAGCTCTGCTTGCCGGCACTCAGGGCAGGCAGTCTGGGCACCTGACAGGTTTCCAGGGATGGGGGAGGAGGCGCTGGACTGTGGCCCATCTACACCTGCTTTCAGGGCGAATACTCCCATCCCCGTGACCAGATACAACAGAAGGAGGGAGCCTTGGAAGCTTCCAACAGCAGGAGGCCCTAAGGATGCCAAGTACGCCATGAACTCTTCAGGATCCCTGAGGGAAGTCTGAATGGGATGAAGTTTCTGCTCTCAAGCCCTATAGACAGCCACCCGATGGGATGAAGAGATCCAGGGTGGTGTCCTGACCGGTCACACAGCCGTCCCTGTACGTGGATGGTTGATTGGAGAGGAGAGGCATGTCTGCCTAGAAGTCTAGACCATGAAACCGGAGAGGGCGGCTTCCTACTGCTCTCCCTTCAGTCCATGTATAGACAGGCAAGTTGAGTCACAGAGGAGACTGCTGCCTGGGTCCTGCATTGTAGCTCATGCACCGACCTTGGCCGCTCTAGGCACCAGACAACTCAAGCAGTTCTGCCCAGCTTGGAGTGTTCTAAGTTACCCTGCCTTCTCTCTCTCACACACCCACACCTCTGCCCTGTTCTAGAACCAGGGTTCTAGAGTAGAAAGGGTGAGCCGGGGACTCACGCTGGCTTTGTAGCTCATGGGTCCTGATGGTTGACCTGCAGGGCCTCAGCTCCCGGCAAGTGATGGAAGCAACAGAGACCATATGCAAATGACTAGCATAACTAGGTCTTCTAGTCATGTGTGCTGAGTCCGAAATTTGAATTTCATGTAACTTTTAAAAAAAAATATGTTTATTTTTATTTTACATGTATGAGTGCTTTGATTGCAGATATGTCTGCGTTCCATACACATGCTTGGCGCCTGAGGCGGCCAGGAGAGGGCGTCACATGGAACTGAAGTTACCATGATTCCCCCCACCGTGTGGGTGTGGAAACTGTCCTCTGCAAGAGCAGTCAGCACTTTTTTTGTTGTTTTTGTTTTTGTTTTGAGACAGTCTCACTATGCAGCCCTGGCTGACCTGGAACTTGCCTGGTAGACCAGGCTAGCCTCAGACTCACAACAGAGACGTGCCTGCCTCTGCCTCCGCAGTGCTGGGATTGAAGGTGAGCGCTACCACACCCAGCTGCAGTAAGCACTCTTATTTTTATGTTGTGTGTATGGGTGTTTCGCCTGCATGCGTGTCTGTGTCTATTGTGCATGTTTGTTACCACTGGAAGGCAGAATGGAGCCTCAGGTCCATTGGGAGTGGACTTACAGGTGGTTGAGAGCCGTCATCTGGGTAGTGGGAACCAAACCAGGATCCTCTGGAAGAGCAGCTAGTGCTCTTAACCACTGGGCCATCTCTCCAGTC